ACACACACACACACACACACACACACACACACACACACACACACACACACACACACACACACAATGAAGCTGTCTGGCACAGTCTAACGAAGCAGTGTGGCACCGTCTGATGCAAAGTCTGACGAAACAGTCTGGCACAGTCAGACACACAGACACACAGACACACAGACACACACATACACACAGACACACATACACACATACACACAGACACACATACACACATACACAGACAGACACACACATACACACATACGCAGACAGACAGACACACATACACACAGACAGACTGACACACACGTACACACACACACACACACACACACACACACACACACACACACACCGATGCTCCCCAGGCCCCTCCAGAGCCCCGCCGGCGACCGGTACCGGCCCAGGCGAGCCCTGTTTGCGGGCCTTGAAAACACGTTCTCGCGAACGTGTTCTCGACCCGTTCGTGCAAACGGGAGAACGCGTTCGCCTGAACGGAAAGGGCCGCGAACACGTTCGCCGTGCTACGCGTACAACTGTACAAAACAAGCCCATCCGTACAATGGGCGTGTTGTACAAATTTTTCACTCGTGTGCATCGCATACCACGTGATGCGCTAATGTCCAAACATTTGACCAATAAGGTTTGACCTGTGAGCTCTCCGAACATTTGACGAATGAGACATTCGAGCAATTGACGAATGAGCTGTCTGAACATTGACCAATGAGATGTCCAAAATTCAAGTTTGACCAGCATTAGGACTGAACGTTTGACCAAATCGAACATATCAAACTGTCTGAACATTTGACCAATCAGATGTCCGAACAATTGACCGATGAGACGTCCAAACATTTGACCAATGAGATGTCCGCACTTCAAGTTTGACCAGCATTGAGACTGAACGTTTGAACGAATCGGACATCTTGAGGCCGAGCCCAAGGGCACAGAAAAGTAAGCAACGTCCTTGAGTGAGATTTGGACACGGGAGGGAGGGAGGGAGGGAGGAAGGGATAAAGAAAGAGTGAGAAAATTCTATCTTCTGACCTGTTGCAAGATGCGTTTGACGCTCTCGTCCATGCGCTCATCGATGTCCTCCGTAAAGCTCCGCTTGAGTTCCACTAGCCGCTGCTCGTATTCCTTCCGCAACTTAGAATTCTGCTCGATGAATTTCCTCTCAATCGTAGCAAAGCCCCTCTCATCACGGTCGTGAAGGAGTTGGTTCTCCACTCGAAGCTTCTCCAACTCGCTCTCGATATCTTTCTGCACAAGGTCGTCATCGCAAAACAATCAAGGCGAATGGCGTGCACCTAACCACCCGTCACCACCAAGTGTGAGAATTTGTGGACTAGATGAAGCAAACACATTGACAAATGATTGTTTGGAAAGAGGCCAGCCAAAGAATCAGTTACAGAACACCTCTCTCATTCCCTCGCTCTCCTGCCCAACCACACAAACAGAAAAAGGGGCCAAAATCAGATCTATGATGAAACCCGAATCGCAAACACATTGAGCTCTCAAGTAACCCCTGTGTTGACTCAGCAACAATGCATTTTATAAGCAGGATTGACAAACCATTGACCCATCACACTTGACCCATCACACTTGCACAAGATATCGACAACATTGAACTCTCTTCATGGTTGCATCCCTGCCGACCGCCGACCCCGACCGCCGACCGTATTGCAGCCGACCAGTCAGAAAATGACCATCCACTATTTTTTTTTCAGATCTGAGTTGGAAGCTGTACTGCGCTTGCTGAGTACAGCCCAAATCCGCTGAGAAATTTTTGGGGATGGGGGGGTTGGGGGAGGGGTGTATAGGGGGGTATAG